CATTCCAAGTGAAATCAGCACAGACACTAAGCGTCACTCGGAGTACAGTCCGTGTGATGGGCTGAATGGAAGCTTCCATTGTAACGGAAGGAATCTGATGAACGCACTGTTTGACCTTGAGTCCAATATTCACATGATGCAGCATGTGACCTGCAAGGAAAACATCACAGAGAAGAAATGTGTCCAACAAAATAAAAGCAATATAATCTGACTTGTAAATAGGATTTCAGAGAGGGTGATTTTATTGCTTGTTTTATGATTTGCTATGTAGAATAGTTGACATTCTTGACCTGGCATGTTTGAATATTTTGTAATAGTTAACTTGAATTAGCAATTTATAGCTCTGAAAACCAGTATCAAGGTTTCTTCAGCTATTAATAGGGTTCTTAAAATTACTGAGACTTAATAGTGTTTAAACTACTGTAAACAGTTCTTCTTTTTATGACACATTATAAAAATATTTAGTGTTTTTTTAAAATAGCCATTAATTCATTCAAGGTCTATTTCAGAACTTAATACCCATGATGAGAAATGCTTTAATAATAAAACACAACTCATTCATCCATACCCACTTCCAAAAAACAAAGATAAAATATTAAATATAGTCAATGTGGCACAAAATTAACCACTTACATATATTTTCATAAATGATCAGATTCTAAAATACAGATATGTATGTGAGGTCCAGGGTGGGTTGGGGAGTCACAAATAAATGTGACTTACTATAAACATTTTCCTATGCTAGCCCAAGTAACTAAAAGAGAATAGTACATGTGTATGTGTATATATATGTATGTAATATATATATACATAAAACATTTTCTTTTTTAATTACAATTTACATTCAGTATTCTTTTGTATTAGTTTATAGTATCAATATTTCTTATATGTCTTAGCTCTTCATAATATAATTTTTTAAAGAGCATCTGTGAATAAATCAAATGTTTTGTATTAATCCAGATTTGAAATTAAAGCATTCCTCCTTATTTTGATAAGGCAGTCTTTGTAACATTTATAAGTCAAGTCCAAGAACATGTACAAAAGACCCATGGACAAAGACAATGGGGTGGGGATTGTCTTTGGGAGCGGGGGTTCAATGGGGTAGGAGAGGGAAGTGGGGGGGGGAAATGGGGACAACTGTAACCGAACAATGTAAAAAAAAGAAATGGTACAATTCCAAAAAGAATGTTATATGTTACCCCAATGTGAATAATATTCTCTTCTTGTGTAGTTAATATCCTTAATTTCTCTTTACTCATATTGGTACTTCTGTCTTAGACATACTCTTCTTACTACAAGTGAGATGACTATCTCAGCCTTCGCATCTTTGGACATTTTGCCAGTAGCAATCCTCCCTCTTATTTTTCTTCAGCCTGACTCCCTAAATGAATAGTAGCTACTTATTTAGAATCTGAAATATTACCTAGTCAAAGCATTATGTTTGTCTAATTAAACATTAAAATACATGGAAATGTATGTAGGAATAATTTTTCAATATTATGTGAAAAACCTTGTTAACTAATTATCATCATTTACAGCTGCAAGTCTGTATGTAAAACAAATTACTTTTGTTTTACATGGAATGTAAAGAAGTATTTTACAAATTAAATTCCAGTTGATAACTTAAATTCCATGTAACTGTTCATTCTTTTGAGTGACATCATAAAATTTGGAAGGACTTCTATTAGAATTTAGGTAAATGAAAAAAATTCATACGGAAGCGCTCCATCCCCTTAAATTCACCCCCTGGCCACCGACCCCCAGCTGTCACCCTGCTCTCCATCTATGAGTCTGTCCCCATTTTTCTGTTTAGTTCAGTTTGTTCATTAGAGTCCATGTATGAGTGAAATCATATGGTATTTGTCTTTCTCTCACTGGCTTATTTCACTTAGCACAATGTTCTCCAGATCCATTCATACTGTCGCACAGGGTAAAATTTTCTTCTTTTTTTTATGGATGAGTAGAACTCGGTTGTGTAAATGTTCCAGTATTGTTTTATTCACTTATCGACCGATGGACATTTGGGCTGCTCATGGGCATGGACAACAGTGTGGTGACTGCTGGGGGGAGGGAAGCAGAAGGGGACCAAGAGGTAACGTAAAAAAATACAATAAAGATTAAAAGTAAAAAAATAAAACAAAAGAAAAAGAAAGCAGGTGAGATGGGTGGAGCTCACCTGCGTTCCACATGAATAAGTGAGTGCGACATGTCAGATGTTGGTAGGTAGACCATATTTTTGAGAACTGAGGTAAAAAGGAGGGAAGAACCAAGGAGGTACTAAATACCAGGACACACGTGAGGCACTCAGTACTCAGGAGGCCTCAGTTTGACAGGACAGATGCCCACTGCAAACCCAGAATTCCGGCTGTGTGAACCCCCACCCAAATTGTACCAGATGCTAAATGTGTTACTCTCCTCTACTGCTTTTGCTTTGTTCCTCGCCGTGTGTTTTACATTTACTGAATAGACGTATGTGAAAATTCACACTACTTTATTTTATATCTAGTAAAATATTTTATGTGCACAGAACAACACATTAAAACATTTTTGCTTCCTTCTTACCTATTTCATCTTTCCTCATGTCTTTCAGCTTATCCACAGTAAGATTTTTCTCTTCTAATCTTGTTAGAATGTGTGGGGGTAAGACTGAAAACTGTCTCAAAGGACTAGCCCACCCCCAGAGCCTCTTGTCGATGACTTTACTAAGATTCAGGAGCCTGTAGGTCATGGCAGGCCAACGTTTCCTCAGAGCGATTTCAAAGAGAGCACGGACAATTCTAGCTGCATTCTGAAAAATAAAAGGGGAGATTGGTGGTTTGGTAACATGGGCTTTTAAACAATACATTATTCAGACTCATTTTCAAAAGAGGTACGTCAAGGTGCATCCTTTAATTGTGGGCAACATATACACCTCATATACACCTGATTATCTTTATTATTTCCATATAAGAATAACTGGTTTCTTCATTTGTATGTGGATGTTATCCTGTTTAACTTTCAGAGGATGGCCTTATTTCCAAGTTCTTAGGAAGCTCCAACCAATACGCTCTGAACAGGAATAAAGCAGGAAGAGACAAAAGGCATGCGATGTATTTAGGGTGCTGTTGAGGCCACCTGGAATATAACAGCCTAGTACAGTGATGTGATTAAATTTACAAGGCTACTTAGAGAAACAAGGAAGACTCTGGGATACAGCCAGGGAGGACAACTGGTGAGAGAAGGGCGACAAAGGAAATACTGATAAATGCAGCTATCCATGTTAATGACTTCCTATAAACTAATCAGTATGTTAACTGCTTTATATATACACTATCTGTTTAGTCTTTGTAACAGTTGCATTTGATTGGTCCTAATATTATAATTTTATAGATAAAGATACTAAAGCTTGGTGAGGTTAATAATTTGACCAAGGTCACATAGCTGGAATCAGAGTATCTATCTATTCAAAGCCAGATCTAAACAATTGCAAACTTAACTCCAAGATTCTAAATTCAGTGGTCTGAAAATAATTTCACTAATAGATACATAGAAACTCATAATGATTGAAGACATTTTTCCCATCTGTACAGTTAGTTTCCATTTGTTTTGTCTCCTTTCCTCTATCATTAACATTGAAGATTGTTTTTAAAATCATGAACTTGGAAATACTTTATAATATCTAATGATATTTGTATTTGAAAATAACGAATGTTAAATATGGTCAAAATGATAAAAAGAGATGAAAAAGAGTAAAGATTTTAAATAGCAAGTAGATGACCCAGCTTGAAATTATGATAGTAAGAGTTAGGTACTGTAGTTTTACATTTTGTATGAAATGTGTATTTATCTTTTGACATATCAACTATTTTTTTCAGTGTTAGAAATGTAAGAAAAGATATGGTATTTAGAACTATGAGGACAATTCTGATATCCATTGATAATAATAAGATGGCTCTTACTAGGCCCAGAGAATGATAAATAAAATGAACATTTTGATTATTATGTCTATGAAATAAGTCTCTTATAACCATTCCCATTGCTCTTGTAAAAACTGCTGGGCTAATTTTCCCACTGTGTTTTTATTTCAGAACCCACAGTTGTTTCCACAAAGCTCCAAGAGAAAGAAAGAGAAATCCTAGGTGACAGTATACAAATAAGACATTTTATTTGGAATGATAAAAATTGCATGGAAATAATGATCCAAGTCTCTGAGATATGTACAGCTTAGAGGACTAAATCTCAGTTTATTTTTTTAAAGATTTTATTTATTTATTTTTAGAGAGAGGGGAAGGGAAGGAGAAATAGAGGGAGAGAAACATCAATGTGTGGTTGCCTCCTGCACGCCCCCTACTGGGGACTTGGCCCACAACCCAGGCATGTTCCCTGACTAGGAATTGAACCAGTGACCCTTTGGTTTGCAGGCTGGCAATTAATCCACTGAGCCATACCAGCCAGGGCAGAAACAGTAAATATTATATTGTAAAGCAATTTATATATCGGTCTCTGATAATATCTTCATAATTTTGAAACAGGCAGAAATGTGGGCAGATTTTTCATCTAAAACCTAGTAAAGCTTTTCATTTTAGGTAAGTCATTAACTATTTTAATACAAAATCATTAAAAAAGAAACATTAATAAAAACAAATAAACAAAAGAAGTTAGAAACAATGATTCCTATAAAGCTATGGGCTTTAGAGAATATATGACATTTTTCTATGGCAGAACATCTTATCCAAGATACAAAAAAAGTTTCCATGTCACCTGGTGTCTTGGTTATGTTACTGAATTCATTCAAATTGTTTGCCAATACATCTTGTTTCATGTTTGTAAATATTTCATGTTCATAGTTGTATCAAAGCATTACTCAGTAATACAAAAATACTTTTTCTATATTAAGTCTTTGAACAAAATTACAAATATAAGATATGCAGATGAAGCTTTTATTTCTCCTTAACTTAAAATAGACATTACTCAGTAAAAATGAAAATGGTATTCTCCTTAAACTGAAGAATTTTTTTAAGATCCTTTTGTACTTCATAAGCGTGATGACTGGGTGTTCACGCTCTTGTGTGACATGTGCCTCTCACAAACCTTGTGAAGACATGGGCACATTATCCGTGTGACATAAAATTTAAAAAAAAAAGAAATAAAAAAACTTATCTCTGCAAAGAAAACCTCTAATTTGAAAGCTAAATAATGCAAAAAACCCCCAAAACAACTCTACTTCACATGGGTTGTAAATATAAAAACATAAATATTACAACATTTAATATGATAGTTTTTTTTTAAATTTATACATTTAATATGTTATAACTTAGGGAATAATTTTCTTTCAGTCCTTATTTTTTAAGTATCAACAGTGGAGAAGAAAGGACTTTTTTTTAAAACCAGAAACTTATACTAAACATATGGTCTGTGGTATATTTATAAAGCCTTAATTAATGATTAAAAAATCTCTTTCTAATGTTTGGGGAAAGCTACGATGATTCCACACTACTTGCTTTTTTTCCTTAAAATTTCTTGTATTATTTCCCTTTGTAAGTAAACATTATCACTTAAAGTAAAATAAATCATATATTTATAATTTTAAACTCTAAAATAAAAACAGCAGCAATATTAGAGCCAAACTAACCAGCAAATTCTAACCTCCATTCTTAATCTAGTAGCTTAGATGGCATAAAAGATGTACAAATTAAATAGAACAAGTTCTAGAATAAAAATAGCAATTTGGTAGCATGTCATCATGCCACACACTCACGGTATAGCATGAATTCATTCCCTGAGTGTCTAAAAGTAAAGGGGAGAGAAGAAATGGGGAGAAATATTCTTACCTGTGCAACATATGCAGAATCTGATATAAGGGAGAAACTGTCCATCTCGCCTCTGCTGATGTAAGTTTGAAGCAGGATATTTATTTTCCCGTAACTGTTCTCTACACCTCCAGGAGCTGAGAGTTCACAGAAATTGCTTAATAAGGCTTCTAACTCCTCTATTTCCTCTTCTCTGACCTAGAAGAATCAGTGTTTTTATAAGATTATTTGGGCTGATTTATTGAAGTATTTCATATTGAAATAAAACCGCATTGCAAGATTTTAAAAATACTTTCCATTTGTATTTCCCTCTGTATGCTAAAATAACAGTAACTGTTTTCACAGGTAGTTAGTAACAAAATAAGAAATTATCTTCAGTTCGACACAATTGCATTTTATTATTCATCACCAATATTAAAGTTGCCATTGACATATAAAAATTTGATATGACACAAAAATTAAATCCTCTGACCTCACTATCCTTTGACTGATGAGATTTCATATTTTATTTGACCAGAGTAAAACCTCTGCCCAAATGGATTAGGGCAAACTTGAATTATCTTCAAATGCATTCATTAGAGTCATATATTTTTATATGGTATAACACATTCATAGCTTAAAGCTGTGAAGTACTATGATTCAAAGTATTAAAGTTTTCACTGTTAATAAGATTAAATTATAATATGGGTTCAGAAATATTCAGATCTAAGTCTGAATCACGCACGTCCTTATATTTTTTAGTAAACTTTATATTGCAAATAAACCAAAATCTACATACTTACTATATTCCCTGGCAATTTCCTTATTTGAAAACCTACTTAAATTGTATTTGATTTGCAGGAGAGAGCAAAGAATGATGTCAGGTATGACATAATATCATAATATAGGATAATGGACATTGTTGATAAATGGAAGAACTTTGCTGGTACTGCAAATGTGAAGTGTTATACAGCTACAGAGCATCAGGAATGACAATTACTGATCTGATTCATTTTATGAATGAATGAATACATATGTTACATGTATTTGATTCAAGCTTCAAGTAATCTTACCTTGATTTGCTCAAATTCTTCAGCTTTGGAGACTATAGCAAGGATATCACTTTCTGTTTTGTGAGCATCAAAGAGTTCATTGAAGGTCTAACAAGGTAAGTGTTATATTTGATTAAAATAGAAGGTCCAATAAAATATATTAAATTAAAAATGTGACTGTAAATCACATATTCCTAAAGAACATTTGAATCTTGACAATGCAGAGTTATGATGTATGTGGCATACCATTCCAAATCTCTGCTTATTTATTGGAGATGAAAAAGTATTCCTAAAATATAATTAGCTAGAGAACATCTTTATAAACAAAAAGGGCAATCAATCAGTTAAAACCTACATTAGATATCTAAAAAAATGTCTGGCATAAAATTATGATCTTGGCTTAATTTAGCATAGACATATGGAAATCTACCATTCACCAAATTTATGTTGACCATGTATCTTATAAAATTTAGAGAGGAATAACTAAAAATATGTAACCTGAAGATTTTGGTGGTGATACTGCAATATTACTAGTGAAGGCACATAGAAATTCAGGTAAATGGGAAGAAAAAAATCAGTAAAGGGCCATATAGAATAAAAACAAGGCTGAAGAAAGGCCCGAATTTCTGAAAGAGAGCTCCAAACAGGTTTCGGATGGAGTTTGGTTCCTACAGACTACCAGGTGGACTAATGGGAAAGGTTACTCAGTGAAGAAAATGGGTGGACGTTATATGCATAAGCACATGTTAAATAAGTACAAAACTTAGATTTCATATAGGCCTAGGTTTTCATATTTATGAGGCAATTTCACTTCCGTGATTTTTATTAACACTGTGACTTAAAAATGATTTTAAATACAAAAGTGAATATAAGAAAAAAATAAACTTTCTCTAAGAATAAAAAGTAAAAGTTCATCTTAACCCATCCCCCTCTTTTTGAACTTAAGTCCTTTCCTCACAGGTAATCACTGTTAACTATCCCCGTGCACTGACACATGTATGTTTATAAACACACACAAAGACATACACATACTCTTTAAAGTGTAAATACTATAGTGGTGCCTGGTCTGGTCCCACATAACATGGTGTCAAAAGGAACAAGCAAAGTACCAATTATATAGTCAAAATTACCTTTAGAATTTTAATATTTTTCTAACTCTTCTTTAGTCAGTGTTAGAACTTTTTCAAGTGCAATTATTTTTCAAGTTTTTATACAATGATATCATTAAGCCATCACTTCCCAGTTAAAATTATTCGGGCATTGATCCCACAGGTCCCGTCAACATGCGAACTGTGTCAGCTCCAGAGTGCCTACCGCTTGGAATATACTTATTGAACAGGATGGCAAGGGGGTCCTGAATATTTAAAATCTTATTTTCTTCTTGTCTTTACTGAACATGTTATTGAATTCATTGTGATCAAAGCATTTTTTATCTATTAACAACATGCATTAACCCTATATTTTGACATTCAGAAAATATCTGCATCTAATAGCAAGGATATTATTGCATTTGTGCCACTCAGTTTAATACCTCAATGGTGTTGTATTTAATATAGTAGTGGCTGGCTGTTCTACCCAAATCGGTAGAGGAAAAATATCCCGTTCGCTCCTCAAAACGAATCATCCTAGCTTTGTCTAGTTTTCGTCCAACTTCAATGACCAACTGTTCGCGATGCTTTGCTAATGTCGGGTCAATCTACGGAGAAAAAAATATATAAGCACTTCAATATTTCTTTAGATAATCACCATTTTTCTTTAGAGTTCCATATACTTATATATGAAAACTAAAATTTTTGTTTTAGTTGGAATAATCATTTTATTACAGTTTTTAAAGAAGCACATATTTATAAATTTAAGATATAACTAAAATCATTTTATTTTTTTATTTTTTTTTATATATTTTTTTCATTTTATTTATTTATCTTTAGAGGGGAAGGGAAGGAGAGAGGGAGAGAAACATCAATGTATGGTTGCCTTTCGTGCGTCCCCTGCTGGGAACTGGCCTGCAGGGAACCTGTCTGCAACCCTGGCATGTGCCCTGACTGGGAATCGAACCGCGATTGTCTGGTTCGCAGGCCCGTGCTCAATCCACTGAGCTACACCAGCCAGGGCCTTAAAATCATTTTATTAAATAAACCAAAATTTATTTGGTTTGAATAGAATATAGTTAAGAAATTCATTAAAATTATCAACCTGCATATTATTTTCAATCTAAAATTCTTACATGATTATCTTTTTAAAAATTTTTATTGTTGTTCAGTTACAGTTGTCTACATTTCCCTTCACTACTCCCTCCACCCAGTCATAATTTTAAGATTGTAAGAACTAGAAATTAGCTGTAAGAAAAAAATGTCTTCTCCCTTCCACACTTAAATAAACAGGGATTTTAAAATATCAAACCATACTGTTACTTTATCAGTATTTGGAGAAATGATAGTGAGGATGCTTTCCTGTGTCAAAGCATACAAAAAATAAGTAAAAAGCTATCCTTTCAAAAGTATGGTTTTATGTTCTGGCAGTTTTCATAACTGCTGATGGGAAAACCCATTTTTCCCTATAATAATAAAAGCAAAGAGCAAAATAAAGTAATAATGAATTTTAATAGTTTTGAAGCTATTATATCAGCCTTTTTCCTAGCAGAAAGAACATTTACTATCAAATACTCCTGTTACTATATGAGGAAGTGTGTGGATGTATGGATGTACACACACCACAGGCCAGGTCCAAAAGATCACTCTCTGGTCAGGAACAATAAAGTGGGCTATGATCTTTAAAGGGTATACTTTAAAAAATCAGAAAAATGATTTAAAAAAGTACAGTAAGGAAGTAAGGTAGAGTCAAGAATCTTATTAGCAAATACAAAGTCTTAAGTATTTGCTACAAGTGATGCACTATATACGTCAAGTTCATCTTATGAAAACATTTTATTAGTCACATAATACTAAACCATTAAAAATATGTTAAACTGCATGATATGTGTTAGTTCATGTGTATTGTGGTTACAAATTCACACTGAGTTGTAAAATGAAAACATTTAAGTTAAAAAAAAATAGAAACGTAAGGTTCTCTGAACTGTGAAGGCAGTAAAACCCTGTATCTCAGAAGAGAAAAAAATTCCATTTTCTTATACTGGAAAATTATACAAAAATGACTTATGATATTAATCTAGTACTTAAAAATCAACTGACGTGTTCATATTGTACCAAGAACTGAGATGGCTTATTCTGTGAAAATGTTGTGTTTTGTTTTATCCCTTCAGTATATTTTAATAGTGCCACTGACTA